TAGAATAGAATAGAATAGAATAGAATAGAATAGAATAGAATAGAATATATGGAGTGGAATGAAATAGAAATAGAAATAGAAATAGAAATAGAATAGAATAGAATAGAATAGAATAGAATAGAATAGAATAGAATAGAATAGAATAGAAATAGAATTGTTAATTGGCCAGGTGTGATTGGACACACAAGGAATTTGTCTTGATGCAAATGCTCTCAGTGTACATAAAAGAAAAGATACATTCGTCAAGAGTCAAGAATCATAAGGAACGACACTTAATAATAGTCACAGGGTACAATAATCAATCAAATCATACTAGGAAACAGTCAATATAAATCGTAAGGATACAAGCGACAAAGTTACAGTCATACAGTCACAAGTGGGAGGGGATGGGTGATAAGGAGTGATGAGAGGATTAATAGTAATAGTAGTGCAGACTTTGTAAATAGCAGGACAGTGTTGAAAGTGGTCAGAGGTCACTTATTTCAGTGCCATTTTCACTTCAAATTGTCACTAAGCGAACTGCTGTAAGTCGAGGACTACCTGTCATTGCAATAGACTTACAATCTCCCATGCAATCCATTGTTTCCTGCAGCCAAATTGCTCTACCAGGAATACAGCGATGATGCCCTGAACAAAGCAATCCAGAGCCAAAAACAGGCGGATTCCTTGTCCGAAGAGGCAGAACCGATATCTCCCAAGCTGCGCAAGAAAGTGCCGATCTCTCAGGACTCTTACCTGCACCGCCTATCCGTCTCGTCGGGCTCCTCCCTGTGGCAGGACATCCCCATGGTTCGAGGGAGCACCATGCTGCTGAGCATGACCCGCGAGGAGCAGAAGCTGCAAGAGGTAAAGGACAAGGAGCCGTCGTCACACCTAGAGGGCTATACGAGCACCAGGCAGGATGCAGCAATGAATAGCAATAGCTCTTAGACGCAGGGGTCTTCAAACTTGGAGGTCAGAAATGAAATGCTGGCTTCTTCTCTGTCAGGAGAAGGCAGCAAATTTGGGCCGTTTCCTGATGTTTCATTTGGAAGGGAATCTAATTGTGCCCCTGGGGATATGCCCGTTTTTCTCTTCTTCAAACAGGCCAAGTTTGAACTGATTGCATCTGAAGCGTCTTACTTGCGGAGCTTGAATGTAGCCGTGGATCACTTCCAACGTTCCCAGGAACTTCAGGGGGTTTTAACCACGCAGGACAAACAGTGGCTTTTTTCCCGTCTTCAGGATGTCCGCGACGTTAGTGCCAAGTGAGTCCTGTGTTCCTTCCAGTCTCAAAAGCCGACCACTGATAACTCTGAATAGAGAGGGCAGGACAAGAAGAAGATTACCAAAGAGAGATCCTACCTAGAATTAAGGAGAAATTTCCTCTCAGTGTAGTGGTATTCTACCGGTTCGGCCTGGTTCGGCTGAGCCAGTAACGGCAATGAGCAGTGGAGATTGAACCGGTTATCTCCAACACTCTGCTGTTGTGCCCACCCACCCACCAGGGCTCCCATACTAATCTTTATGTCCTGCTTTTGAAGCGCAGCTGCTTTGCGCGCCACAGCAATTGCTGGGCGGCAGCTGCTGAGGCACCAGACTGTTCTGACCCAAACCTTGTTCTAAGTAAACAAACAGAGATAAAAGCAAAACCTTTTAATGCTTCTCTGCGAATTCCATTAATTCGCGGTTAAAAGGCTATTAAAACTAATTGTCTCTGATAAGAACGAGCCTTGCCCAGGTTGTGCAAGGCTGCCAAAAGCACTAGATTTAAGTTGCCAAGAAATATTCCAAACATCCTAGTCCGAACTTCCACAAGGCTTGAAGTGCAAGAACTTCTTTGCTTCCTGCAAAGAACTCCGGTTTCTCAGCTGGCTTTTATCTCTTAAGGAAGGGGACTTTACTTTGCAGCCTTACTCCTGAGTCGCCCGTGCTGCTGCAGCTGCTCTTTCCTTCGAGCAGCCTTGCGCACATGTGCACTGGGCCCAGGCTCCTCGGGGACCTCCTCATTACTGCTGCCAGCCTCCACAATCTTCAAAGGCAGCACCCCACTCTCCGATAGTCCTGGCCCCATCCCTGCATCACACGCAGGCCCCTCACCTGAGTCCTCGCTCTCCGAGACCTCAGCCGTATACATCTGCTGCCAGCGAACCAGAACACAGGGAGAGTGCAGGATTGCAGGAGGTGGCTCAAAACACCTCTGTGCCTGTGCAAAATGTGCATTTGTCACGCATGTACACAAAGTGTGTGCGCGCCTGCAAAGCAGGCCCACCAAGCCACACCCACTAAACCAACGGTCAAAATATTTGAAACACACCACTGAATCGGTAGACTGGTTCACCTCTGGAAATTGTGATTGCTCCATCACTAGAGGTTTTAAAGAAGAGACTGGACAGACATTTGTCTAAAATGGGGGACTCCAATCTTAGCAACTTTAAGAATTTGTGGGGCTTCAACTCCCAGAATTCCTCAGTTAGTCATGCTGGCTGGGCAATTCTGGGAGTTGAAGTCCACAAGTCTTAAAAGTTGCCAAGTTTGGAGACGCCTGCTCTACAACGATATAGGGCAAGGGTATCAAACTGGATTTCTTTTGAGGGCTGGATCAGCATTGTAGTTCTCCGCGGGCTGCCCGGGGAGGGTGGGGAGACAAGATGGACACCTCCTGCAGCACCCCTCAGCCAAAATGGGGTGGGGGTGTCATGTGCCCCCCCCCAAATACTGTTTTGGCCAGCAGAGGCACCGCGGGCTATTTCCCCTGCGGCTGAGATTTAAGCACGCTGTTGGCTGGATCTGGCCAGTGGGCCTTGAGTTTAACACCCCTGATATAGATCTTCTTGCTTGGAGTAGAAGAGCACCAAGGTCCCTTCCAACCCTATTATTCTATTATTCTAAGTAGCGATGCATGTAGCCACTTATTTAATAAGAACCTAGATTTCTCTCCTTCCCATCATCACAAACATGAAGGAAAATCTTAACAGTATAGTCTTACACGCTGCAAACCTTTGATATGAAATATACATATCATTCATTTAAATAAGGCTGTGGAACAGATGGGTGTTTTTCCCCCTTAGAATTAAAAAAAAAAGGATAGAATCTACCATCGCTACCTATGCCTAAATTAACACCATTGTTCCCCCCCCCCCCATGCAACAATTGGTCAATTGTTTTAGGAGTCAGTAAATAATGGTAGGAGCAGGAGTGGGATTATACAGGTTTGCACCTATTCCCTAAAATCAGATGTTAACATTCTAAGCAGTTGGGAGAACCGGTTGTTAGAAAAAATTACTGGCCTAATCCTGTAAGGAAGACAGGAAGGAAACATTCTGGGGTTGCTTACAGAAACTGCCTCTCCATTAACCCTTATTACATTCTTGGCAGGACTAGACTTCCTGTCTCAGGAACTTCTCTGGAGTTTTTCCCCCCTCCTTTCCTGGTACTTTCCTTGTGTGGAGTGACCATTCAAAGTTACAATGGCACTGAAAAAGGTGACTTATGACCATTTTTCACACTTACAACTGTTGCAGCATCCCCACAGTCATGAGAGGCCAGGCCAGGTGATTTGTGCCTCGATGTGAGTGATATTGAGTTGGCCACGCCCAGCCAGTCACATTACCACCAAGACATGTCCACCCAGTCAGATGACCACCAAGCCACGCCCACCACCTAAGCCACGCCCAGAGAACTGGTTGTTAAAAAATTTGAATCCCACCCCGGGATAGGAGTGACAATGATGTTCTGCTTTTCTTCCATGATGCCTGCAGTTTCCTCTTTGAACTGGAAGAGAAACTTGAGGAGAACATGTTCACCTTCAACGTCTGTGACGTGGCACTCAGAAACGCCCCCGAATTTCGCAGGGTTTACTTGCCGTACGTGACCAACCAGACCTACCAGGACCAGACCTTCCAGAGACTCATGTAAGGACCTGAAGATGCCTTCCAGAATGCTTGACCTATTTCTCTCTCCCTCCCTCCTTCTCTCTCTACCAGCCCACAGTGCCTCTGACAATGAAAACTGAGCTCGGGAGGGCTGCCTGCAGCCTTCCCGAGCTCCATTTTTGTCTGCAATGCCCTGCAGCGCTCTCCCAGTGAAAACGGAGCTCCGGGAGGTGGGGGGGGGTCGCGCGTGTTGTGGCCCGCCAGTGGCTGGCGGACCTGGCAGCAGAGTCGGACAGTAGAGAGGAGGTTGGGGAGGAACCTGGGCCAGTCTTGGAGGCTGAGGAGGGCTCGGACGAGGGTTCTGCCTCAGAGGCAGAGATGGGGCCAGGGCAGGTTGACGGTCATCAGCTACCTTCAAACTCAGACAGCAGTGAGGTGGGGGAGTTTCTGGAACTGGTTCCCAGCCTGCACATGTGCAGGGCTACACCAGACAAGAACAATTGAGAAAGCAGGGTCGACTCAGGAGTAAGGCCGTACCTTGGAGATGATTGGCCCCTCCCATAGGACATAAAAGAGGAGCGAACGGGACATGAGCTTTTGCAGGAAGCAATTAGTTAGTCTGGTCAATTCAAGCTTTGAAAAGTTCTGTTTGACTCTGTGTCAAGTTTGGCCTTGCCCTGCATTTGGCAATTAGTTCTCTGGCCGCATTCCAAGTGTGATAAGGTGGGTGTTTATCAACATTCCCCTGAAAGACTGTTTGTAAAGCCTTGCAGGCTGAGAATGAACGTAATTCACAGCCGTGGGAATAAAAGAGGTTTTGCCGGAACTAAGATTGTGTTTTATGCTTTCTAAGGAAGCCTAGGTCAGAACAGCGCGTGGCCCTCCTGAGCTCTGTTTTCGCTGGCAGAGGGCTTCAGGAGGCCGTCACAGCCAAAGACAGATAGTTGGCCATGCTCACCCTGTCCACACACCCTGGCCACACACACCCCGATCCCCCAAGGTCAAACACAACCCTGATGCAGCTCGCCTTGAAATCGAGTTTGACACCCTTGCCTTAAATGGGTCAGTCAAGAGGGCAGGAAGCCCCGTGTATAGCAGTTCTTAGAAAATGTGTTGTGTCTTGCTGAGCGTTGGATATCTTGTTTTTCTTTTAGATCCCAGTCTCTCACCTTTACTTCACAAAGTGTCATGTCTGCCTTTTTCTTCTCCTGCCTAGGAACGGAGTCCCTGCTTTCCAGCAGGTCTTGGAGAAACTGGAAAGTGATCCAGTGTGCCAGCGCCTCTCCCTCAAATCCTTCCTCATTCTCCCATTCCAGCGTATCACCCGACTGAAGCTCCTTCTCCAGGTAGGAAGATTTCACCTGGCCACAGTTCAGCCAGTGGCCTGAATGTAGCATCCGATCCAGGGATCATATTTGTCCAGTTTCTTGAGTCTCAAGGCTGCGAGGATGGGAGAAGTGTAGCACGGCGAGGACGGGAGACGCATAGCAGGGCGAGACGAGACTGGGGTCCTCCTCATTGAGGCTGCTGCCAGGTGGGGTGGGGAGATGCCGGGCGAGGTGAGGTGTGGCATGGTGAGACCAGGTAGCTCGAGGTGAGGCTGGGCAAGACCAAGGAGCTGCTTCCTGGGAGTGGGCCTTGGCTGAGACGGTAGGGGCTGGCTCCTCAGCATTTCTACGGCAGCCCCACCGGCCACATCTGACCACATCGCAGGCCGTATCTAGCAGTGTTCTATGATTTAAATCTCATTTGCTATTGATATACAGGTAATCTTCAACTTACAACGGTAATGGGCCCTGCCCATTACTGTCTTAAGTCATGATGGTCATAAAGTGAGCCATCACACGATGGTCCTGATTTTGTGACCTTTTCTGTGGTGGTGGCTTATATAGTAGTCATTGTTCAGAATGGGGCGTTTTTGCTGAAACCAAGAAATAAATGACAAAAACGTCATAAATTGTGGACTCTTGATGTTGGGAAGCTGCAACGGGCCGTAAATGTGAGCCAGTTGCCAAGCAACCAAAGTGTAAGTCATGTGACTGAGGGAGTGGCTACTGGGACTTCATTACTGGGTTGTAAGTACTTTTGTGGGGGCATTGTAACTTCAAAAGCTAAGCAACCAGTCCTAAATCTAGAAATACCTGTACAGGTAGTCCTCAACTTACAACAGTTTGCTTACAACCTTTTGAAGTTACAATGACACGGAAAAAAGTGACATGACCATTTTTCACAGGTATGACCGTTGCAGCAATTTTAATCTTTTTTTTTTCATTCTACTTGTTAGCTATTTTGTCATTAATATAGTCAATACATGACAGGTTCATAATTTGGAGAAAGAATTAGAAGTTTTTTTTAAAAAATGGGCCTGTTTTTCATGGGTTGGGAAACTAATATTGTTGCAATGTATTTATCAATATTCAACTGGGGGCATAATATGTGTATATATGTTTGTGTCCCTTTTTAACACACCTTTTGAATGTCTAGTTTGTTTTTTGTAGTTGATGGTTTTTATAAAAACCCCTTTTTTGGGGTGGGAGGGAAATTTTGCATTTTAACTTTTTTAAAAAAAAAAAATGAAAATGAAAATTACTACAGGTAGTCCTCAACTTACACCTTAACAACAGTTCGTTGATTCATCATTCAGGATGGCACTGAAGAAAGTGGCTTAGCACCATTTTTCAAACTTTTGACCATTGCAGCATCCCCCAAGGTCACATGATTTACATTCGGACGCTTGACCACTGACTCCCATTTATGATGGTTGCAGTGTCCCGGGGTTCACCTGATCCCCTTTTGCAACCTTCTGACCAGCTAGTCAACAGGGGAAGCCATTTTGTATACATGTTTTATAGTTGACAACAGAAAGAAGGGGAGGGGGAGTTTCAAAGAGCAGGCGGCAGTGTGGAATCGAAAGTACATTCCTTTCATATTTTCTTCAAACACTGATTAGATGACTGAAGCGTCTGCCACGTGCAAGAATCTAATTGGAGAGCATGATTGATGACTCTTGGCTATGGATGTTTTTCATTGGATGATACACCTAGAAGGATGCGGGGGGAAGCAGGATCAAGAGTGACAGTGAATTACGTATCTCAGAGTTGGCTACACCCAGGCTCATGATTTAATTGGAGTAACTACCGGAATCCTGACATCTGGTTCACTTAACAACCGGGTTACTCATTTAACAACAGCGGTGATTCACTTAACAAATGCGGGGAGGAAATTTGCAAAATGGGGCAAAACGAATTTCTCACGTAGCAATGTAAATTTGGGGCTCAGTTGTCGTAGGTCGAGGACTACCTGTACACGGATTGAATGGGGTTGTTTGGCCTCCGCTCTTCTCTTTTGCAGCTGTTTTTGGTGGACTGACAGGAACAAGCTCCTTGATTTCATCTATAACAGGGGCCTTCAAACTTGACAGCTTAAAGACTTGTGGGCTTCCACTCCCAGAATTCCTCCTCCAGTCATGTTAGCTCAGGAATTCTGGGAGTGGAAGTCCACAAGTCTTCAAGCTGTCAAGTTTGAAGGCCCTTGTTCTATAAAAACCCCGGCTCAGTTCTGTTTCCCTCTTACTATGATTCTCTCTTTTTTCTCCCTTGGAAAAAAAAGAGAAGAGATGATTTACCATGTTCTCTAGCAAAGATCTCTAGATAAAAATGATGGGGTTGCCCATTTCCTGTTCACAAGATGCTGGCGAGAAGGTGTGGCTGCCGTGAGATCAGTTGGAGTTCAAAACTGATGACTAGTCCTGCCACCCCACCCCCAAAAAAGGATTAGAAAATATAGACGCTTTCCAGCTTTTCACAGAGAACCAGTTTGGCCTAGTGGTTAAGGCACCAGGCTAGAGAGTGGGAGACTGTGAGTTCTAGTCCCACCTTAGGCTTTCATGCCAGCTGGGTGACTTTGGGCCAGTTACCAGGAGACAGTGAATTCTAGTCCCACCTCAGACACGAAAGCCAGTTGGGTGATCTTGGTCCAGTCCTTCTGCCTCAGCCCAACTCATTTTACAGGGTTGTTGTTTTGGGGAAGGTAAGAGGAGGAAGGTATGTTGGATATGTTCGCCACCTTGATTTATTTGTAAAAATAATAAAGGCAGGAAATCAATCAATCAATCTTTCCTTCTGCAGAACATCCTGAAAAGAATTCCACCAGGGGCTGATGAAGAAGTCCAGGCCACACAGGCATACGACGCTCTTGAGAAGGTAGAAGTCACTCAAAATCTGTTCTTCAGGCATCCATTGTCTCTCCTCTCCTCACAGAAAAATCTCCTTTCATTTCAGAAGCTGAAATATCCAAGGAGTTTACTTCCATTTTTGGAATAGAGAGGCATGATAATAGCCTGAGCAACCCCTTCGTAGAGTAGGAATGGAAAGGAAAGCATTTAGTTTGCCCCTGAATGCAAATATACTTAATTATTATTTGAATGAACCAGCAGAGAACACAAAACTTTGGTATTTTTTAAAGCTGGGTAGCTCTGCAAATTTTTCAATAGTTATTTTTTTTAAAAAAATAAATAAATGTAGTAGGAGAAATTTCTATCTCTTTATCTGTTTAGTGTAATCCTTAAAAAGATATTGCCAAACAGAAAAAAAAAGAAAAGAAATTAGATACTGCTTGGTATCTTTCTGCTTTGAAGGTCAAACAATTGTGGGACTCAAAATCCAAGAGACTTGAACAGTTTCCCCGACTGTTAAAATTTACCCTTCAGAAACCAAAATTAACATGACATGATATATATATAAGAACGCCTCTAAAGAGTACATGGGACTGGTGTTCTGTGACGTGGATAATCCATGCTCACACGCACCTCCTAAAAATAATAACACAGAATTTCCCTCTGCACGCTAAAGGATGATGCAATCGCTTTTAAATCCAGTTCTTTCACAGTAAAAAGAAATGGTGGTTTTTCAAATGATCTTTCCCCCTTCCCTTTTTTTCTGCTCTGATGGCATTTTCCTCTCTGCAGCTCATCAAAGATTGCAATGCAAATGTCCAGCGTATGAAGAGCACCGAAGAATTGATTCACTTAAGTCAAAATATGGAGTTTGAATGCAAGGTAAAAAAACCAAACAAACCCTGCAAAGAATCTGCTTTGGATTCACGTGTTTTCTAGATATATATAATTTCCTCCGTACCTCCTCCCAAAGGTTTTCAGAACTCAGAAACCCATGGCCAAGATTGTCAGAACTAACATCATCATCATTCATCATCTTTTAACAACCCCATAATCCCTTGCAGGGTGGAGTCTGGGCAACTGAATGGAGCTAGTGTTTAATGGCCGGATGCCCTTCCTGTTGCCAATGCAGAGTTTTGTTCAGCAGATATAGTCTCAGTGAGCCCAGAGAAATATCTGCCTCTACCTAGGATCGAATTCACACCCTCCTGAGAGCTCCACCTCTAGGCCACGGCACCACTCCTTTGTCAGAACTAACACCCTTTTAACTTTTGTTTCAGCTCATGGTGCAAACAGAATTTAGAATAGGAATAAGAATGGAATGGAATAGGAATAGGAATAGAATAGAATAGAATAGCACACAATAGAATAGAATAGAAAATATGGAATGGAATGGAATGGAATAGAATAGGGAATTGAATGGGAATTGAATGAGAATAGAACAGAACAGAACAGAATAGAATAGAAATAATGGCATGGCATGGCATAGCATAGCATAGCATAGCATAGAATAGAAATAATGGAATGGAATGAAATGGAATAGAGAATGGAATGGAATGGAATGGAATAGAATAGAATAGAATAGAATAGCACACAATAGAATAGAATAGAATATTGTCACTTTGAAGGTACACTAATCAGCATACATTACAATCAGTGGTGGGATTCAATTTTTTTACTCCTGGTTTTGTGGGCATGGCTTGGTGGACCTGATTATGTGGGAATAGGCATGTGACTGGGTGGGCGTGGCTTTTTTTGCATCCACCCCCCACTCATTTTTTGGTCCTTCTAGGCCTCAGAGGAGCCTCTAGGGCAGGGGTCCCCAACCACCGGGCCGCGGACCGGTCCCGGTCCCGGTCCGTGGATCATTTGGTACCGGGCCACAAAGAAAATAAAAATAAAATAAAAATGGCGGCTTTCTTCCCCTTCGGTGAATGCTGCTGGGATCAGGGATCAAGGACACAAATGAAAGAAGGGGAGGGAGGAAGCAACCAAAGCCTGTCCTGCTCTCCGGCTCAGCGGCTTCAGTTTCCTCCCGCCTCGTTCCTCTCTTCAGTCGCTCTCTCGCTCCTCCACCAGCCCAGGAAGA